TTAGTTAGGCTGCTAATTACAATTTTTGTTATAACTAATCCACTGTAATAAAGCTATTTATATAGCTTCCCACTGTACGATTAATTCAGTTGAATGTAATTCATTTTTTCTCCTCTCTTCCTTGTTCTTAGCTCCTCTGCTGAGCTCAATATGGTATTAGAGCAGAATTAATCTACTGCGAACTTACTCAATTTCTTCTTCCTTCGATCGATTGCTCTTGTATCCTTCAATATGGCGACTCTTCCCTCCATGAGTGATTCCAACTCAGACGAGCGCACTAATTCAATTCGGTCTGCCATTGATGAACCTTCCAATCCGTACTATCTTCATCATTCAGATAGCCCTGGGCAAGTGCTCGTCTCGCAGCAGCTCGCCAGTGAGAATTACACCAATTGGAGTCGTGCGATGTTTATTGTACTTTCTGCGAAGAACAAATTGGGATTTGTCGATAGTTCCATCTCTGAGCCTCAAGGTACTAATGAAAATTTGCTCAATTCCTGGATTTGCAATAATAACATTGTTATATCATGGATCTTAAACTCGATTTCAAAGGAAATTTCTGCCAGTATCATATTTGCTCCTTCTGCTTGAGAAATCTGGCTAGATCTGAAGGATCGTTTTCAACAGAGGAATGGACCTAGAATCTTCCAGCTTAAACGTGAATTGATGAATCTACGTCAGGAACAGAGTTCAGTTAGCATTTACTTCACAAAGTTGAAAACTATTTGGGAAGAACTGAGTAATTATCGACCTAATTGTTCATTTGGAAAGTGCTCTTGTGATGGAGTTAAAAGTCTCAATGATCATCATCAAATGGAATACATAATGTGCTTCTTAATGGGACTTAATGATTCCTTCTCTCAAGTTCGTGGTCAGTTGCTTCTCATGCATTGCAAAATACTTGGACATTATGTGGATCGTTGCTACAAGCTCCATGGATATCCTCCTGGATATAAATTTAGATCCAACAACAATACTAATGATGTTGCACATCAAGTCTCTACTTCTGATGATAGACCAGATCACTCTAATTCGTTTGGAGGCTTTGTTCAGAATCTAAGCTCCAATCAATATCAATAGTTAATGTCCATGCTTTCGACACATTTGAGTACCTCAGCAAAGGTCACCAATGCTCCTGATTCTTCTCAAACCGTCTCATAGGTATTTGTTTTTCTGTGTCTATGAGTCTTCTATTTTCTTCCAACCAATTCTGGATTGTAGACTCGAGCTACTCGACATATCTGCTCACAAGCCAGTGCATTCGTTTCCTTACATTCTATTCATCACACAACAATTGCTTTGCCAAATCACTCTCACATTATGGTCCATTTTGCTGGTGATGTTAAATTGCATTATGATCTTGTGCTTAAGGATGTATTGTTTGTTCCTCAATTCAAATTCAATTTGATCTCAGTCAGTGCTTTAGTAACTAGATCTGGCCTTACAGTGAATTTCCTTCCTGCCTACTTTGTTATCCAGGATCTATCAACCAAGAGGATGGTTGGCAGGGGTGACAAAGTCCAAGGTCTATATGTGCTTAACGTTCAGAGTTCGAATTCTATTTCCAATGCTTTTGTCAATAATGTTTCTGCTCACATTTGGCATAATAGGCTAGGATATATTTCATTTAAGAGACTCGATTCTTTGAAAGAACAGTTGAAATGTGATGTCACTAGATGGCACAAGTCGGATCCATGTTATGTTTGTCCTCTTGCTAAACAAAGAAGGCTACCTTTTGAATCCAATAATCATTTATCCAAATTTCCATTTGATCTTGTGCATTGTGATATTTGGGGACCATATCAAAGTGTCTCATATACTGGTCATCAATTTTTCTTTACTCTCGTTGATGATTGTACTCGTTTTACTTGGGTATACTTGTTGAGGACTAAATTTGATGCTGTATCTGTGGTACCGAAGTTTTTCGACATGGTTTCAAACCAGTTTAATGCCCAGATCAAAGTATTTCGATCTGATAACGCACCTGAAC